GGGATTCTATCATACTTTATCAAAGAAATACTTCATCATTAGCTTGTGTTACTTGTACAAAAAGCATCAACAATTAATAAACAATATTCTGATTCTCTACTTGGGTATGGTAATATCTATGTTTGTAGGATAATTCCGATGATGTGTTTAAGTTTTAAACTAAATCCTGTATAAGGAATGGCAAAACCACTCCTGAGCACTAATTTGTGAAGCAATGGGACAGATAATAACACATACACATGCAAAGCACACAATCTGAAATATTGTCAAGTACATTAGAATAAATTAAGTATATGTGTGATGGGAAGGGTGGACAGGATATAGACTAAGGCTGGAAACAGCAAAGGTATATTGGTAATTCTGTGCAAGAGAGGGAGAATGAAATGGATTGCTAAATGGTCTAAAGAAGGTGATCTTCATACCTGTCTGAGGTGGGTAAATTTCTGACTATAATAATTGTCAACATAGGCATAGATTGTTCTGTCTATAAAAAAAAAAGTAAATACACTAGAAAATAGGCATAGCTAGCAGCATAGCTCTATCAACATCAGGTAGTGAAAATAATCCACTCAGGGTGTTGTAAGTCCTGAGTGGTATGTCATAATTAAATTACTTAGATCAATGCCTGGGATGCTTTCAATGCTCAACAGACAGTGGAGGTAGTTTATATATATATATATATATATATATATATATATATATATATATATAAACATGCACACACACACATATAGACACAGGCTGGTAAAAATATAGATAAATATAGATACATACATGCATACACATACATGTAAGCCATTTATAAAGGGAAAGGAAGAAGCAGAAAGCTACAAAAGAAATGTGTACAACTTTGCATAAAGCTAGAAATGTTTATCTTTCTTTTTTCAATTTAGTTTTTAATTAAATAGTTATATATATGCCCATTGTGCAAAAGTCAAATGATGCAGAAGTATACAGTAAAACATTATAATTTATACATCTTGCTATTTTTCCAGAATTTTCTACTTACATATATATATATACACACATTGATATGCATATATACATATAAAAATAGAGAATTTTTATTAATTTTTAACTTTTTAAGCACAAATGGAGTCAGATATATTTTATCTCTATATCATTAGCTGAGTAGGCCTAAGCAGAAGTTTTACTTGAAGATATTTTTGTCATGTATACTTGTATTACAACTCTATTACTCATAGTATACGAACCTAACACAGTTGGATTTCTTGTAGAGTTACCTATCTATCTATCTATCACTGATGAATCCAGCAGCACAAACACAGTTGTTGTAACAAATATCCAGTGAAAGATATTTTAAAGTTTCCCTTAAAACTGCATTAATGACCCGATATTGCTCCATTACAGCTTTCGAAAAATGTGTGAAGTGTTCTGACAGCATGTCAACAAAGTGTCAAATATTGTGAGAGAGAAGCTAAGAATTGGAATCATAGTGTCACCAAGTGTTAAAGCTGGAGGGACCTTAGACCCCCTTCATGTTGAGAGTGATGGGGCTGAAGCCCAGGAGGGCTTAGTGATTTGCTCAAGGTCACACACAGCAAGTAAGGACTGAAAAGTGAAACTTGGGTCCCCTGGTTCCCAGTCCTGGTCTCTTTTAGATTTGTAATTTTGCTCCTAACTATATTAATTGTTTTATTTTGTACAGAACAAAACACAGATTGTAGAAATGAAAGAATCAGAGATTTCTTGGAATCTGAGTCATTTTAAAAGTTACTCATCTCTTATCTGTCAAAGTACCTAGCTATCTATCCCCAATAATTTATTTAAGCATTTATTCGACATGTAACTCATAGAGATATTAATATACCTAACAATGAGAAGCAGTAATTGTAGTTTTGATTAAATATAGTCATCTCTCACTTTATCTACATTTCGTGGAGGGAAGTATTTCTTCCTTTTTCTTTCTTGCATTCTTGCTTTCTTAATAAACATGCCCTTTCTTCTTGCACCACTAGATCCTAATGACCCAGCAGATAGAAATTATTATCATAACACAGGCACACAAGCACATATGTGTGCACACACACTCAACATATATGAAGCACTTGGCAGATTAAAGAGCATTTACATATATTAATTCTTATCATAATTGCAAGTTAGTTGGATATTCTCTAAAGTCCATTTTATAGAGGAGAAAACAGTCAAGGAGTCATAATTTTCCAAAGCAAAGGCTGAAAACTAGGTCTTTTCCTTTCAATAGAGAAGCACATAATGGGTTATAGATTTTTAATGAATAGCTAAGATAAATGAGACTATTTCAGGTAATACTAAAATATTTTTGAGTTGATATAAAAGAGGTTTAAAATAATACTTTATACCTATTCCTCAGTGATAAAGAGTGGCATTTTGTATTAGAAAATTCAAAAATAATATTTTTTACATTTTAAAATTTTATATTTAAATTCTGAATCTTCCTTGAAAGATAAAACAGATTTTCCTTTCAAATTTGAATATTTGTTTATTTTTTAATTGACAAGTATAAATCTTATATATTTATGGTATACAAGATGATGTTTTGATATATATACACATTGCAGAATAGCTAAATCAGGCTATTTAACACATCCATTACCTCACATACTTATCATTTTTTTGGCAAAAACACTTAAAATCTACTCTTTCAGCAATTTCAAGTATTCAATGTGTTGTCGTTAACTATAGTCGCCACGATATAAAATAGAACACCTAAACTTATTTTTCTTGTCTAACTAAAGTTTCAGTTTTTTGACCAACAGCTCCCCATTCTCTACCCCTCAGCCTCTGGTAATCACTATCATACTATTTCTATAAGTTCGACTTTTTTAGTTTTTATTTTTTTAAGCAAGAAGAGGACATGATTTATTTGACAAAAATTAATTTTTGGATTAGTTTTCAGCAAATCCATGAATTTTATCGAGGCAAGTAAACTCATATAGTCCCTACAGTTATTGTAGTATAAATTCTGTATTTATGTAACAACCTTGACTTCCAGATTTGAGGACAGTTTATAATCTCCCTGAGGACAGGAACATAATTTACAAAATTATGAATTTACACAAAGCTGGACACATAATAGGGCCTACTAAGCACAAATTGTTGGATGAATGAGTGAAACAGAGGTGTATGTAAGGTTAAAAAGCTCATGTCTAAGTGAAGGAGGAAAGGGTTCTCCCAGTCATTCCCAACAGAATTTGCTGGCATCACATTCTTAAATGTATAACAGGGATTTGAGCATTTTGCCTTAAAATAATCCTAATGAGTCTCTCTCTGCACTAGTTCCAAGGGCTGGGACACAATTGAATATGTGATGCTGAACAGAACTGATCTCCAGGGGAATAACAAGATTTGCATTTTAAAAGCAAATATTCTCTGAGGATCTACATGTACCATGTAAGTTTGACTTTTTTTAGATTTCACATATAAGTGAGATCATGCAGTACTGGTCTTTCTGTGCCTAATTTATTTCACTTAACATAATGTTCTAAAGGTTCATCTATGTTTCATTCATTTTTAAGGCTGAATAATATTTCATTGTGCATATATAACATGTTTCCTCCATCCATTGATTCATCGATGGATGCTATAGATGGTTGAGTCTGTATTTGTGGTGAACAACGCTGCAATAAACATGCAAATGTAGATCTCTCTTTAACATACTGATTTTCATTTTCTTTGAATATATACCCAGTAGTTGGATTGCTGGATCATATAGTAGTTCTATTATTAATTGTTTGAGGAACTCAATTTGAATATTTTAAAATTTATTTTATAGCCATATATGTCCAGAGCATGTTTTTTATTGATGCTCTCAAAGACATCTATCTTTAACAACTTGTGCCAGAATCTTTTACAATGGAAATGATCAGTCCTAGTGCTTGTTAAGAGTCTGGATGAGGAAGGAGTCAGAAAACCTGGGTTCTATTCCTGGCTTGTCCAGCACCTTGCTATATGCCATTAGCCAGATCACTTATATCTATGTCTTAGTCTAGTCTTCTAGAAAAAGAATGTGTGTGACTTTGATGATCAATAGGTCACTAGATCATCTTAAAATCTATAATTTATAATGTATTTTTCTGTGTATTAATTTTATTAAATTAAGATTGTATTTCATTGTGGGTATTTATTAATGCAGACACACATGTGAAAGATCCAAATATTAAAGCAGAACAATTCTACAATAATTGCACATATATATCTGCATGAACACACAGTCTCATAATTCCTAGGGCCTTGTAAACAGGCTGTCAAAGTAACTACTACCTTCCTCAATGAAAACAATTTGGACACCTTTAAGATAAATTTATATTTAATGTAATTACTCAGTGATAAATTTATTTAGTTAAGCATATTAGTTCAAATGGCACCCTGATTTGGATGAGGTATAAATATTGAAACTTAGATTTTAAGTGAAATCTTGAAGCCATGCACCTCTTCACTGTCTATAATATGTGGACTTATTGTTGACATTTCAGAACATAGTAATAGGTTTAGTAGTCTTAATATCAAAATTTGTCAGGAACTCCATATATATAATCTGAAATATATATTTAATACTATGAACTTCCAAGAAATAATTACTCTACCTATGTGTTTTTAAGATCATATATAACATTCATTTCATGACTCAAAATGTATGACAAGTTTTAATTTTTAAGGTCAAAAGCATAGCACACTTTACTGACATCAAAAATGTTAAGTTCTGATAGTTTTCCTTGCTAAATTGTTTAAAAATGTATAGCAAAGGGTTAATGTGAAGGCATATTTAGTGTGTTGTAAATATTTCTGGAGTAGAATGATTATTAAGTTAAAATCAGAAAATACAAAATGTTTCATGGCATTTTCCATGTACATAGATTTCCACTATCTGCTTTCACTGCTGAGGCTGGGGCAGGAGTTTTGGTGGTCAGCATTATTTAAGCAACATTTTACTCTTTTCTGCTTCAGAGGAAGCCTGCCATCCCATAGGTTTTACTAAAAACCACACATCTCTTGTTTCTTAATATGCTGAAAATCCATTGTAATAGTTTCCTGTGGCTGCTGTAAACAAATGACCACAAACTTAATGGCTAAAAATAATAGCACTTTATTCTTTCACCATCCTGGAGGCTAGGAGTCTGAAATCAGTTTCAGTGGGCCAAAAATCAAGATGTTGTCAGGGCCACATTCCCTCCACAGAGGCTAGGAGAGATTTCATCCCTGGTTCCAGTTTTTGGTGGCTGCAGGCATTTCTTGACTTATGGCCGCATCACTCCAACCTCTTTTTCATGGTCAATTTGTCTCTCTTGTCCTCCTCTTCTGGATTTTATCTCCCTCTGACTGTCTCTTCTAAAGACACTTGTGGTGACATTTAGGACCTACTCAGATAATCCAGGATAGTCTCTTCATCTCAAGATCCTTAACTCAATCACATCTGCAAAAACTTTAGCATGCCAGCTAACATGCACAGGTTCCAGGGATTAGGATGCAGATGCATCTTTGGGAGCTGCTATCAGCCTACCATATCCATTCTTCAGTTATTTGGTATTTAGTGTTCAATGATTTCTTAAGCTGTACACTAGGTAAAAAAGACTTCCTGTTACTTAAGAGTTTGTAATTCAGTTATAGAAAATTCACACATACCTGAAACATCAGAAGAATAGTGAAAAGAAGATGGGAGACAAGAGATAAAGCACAGTTGTAATTTAAGTCCAGGAAAATAAATTTAAATTACATGCAAGGTATTGTTTAATATTTAAATTTAATATAAACAAAATGTGGCAATTAGACTAGATCAAGTGTTCTTCAAAACCAAATTTTAAATAAATAAATTTATTTTAAGGTATTCTGGCTGTAGCTGTTGCATGTTTTTGCACTGGCTGTCTCCAAGGCGTGGAAATGCCTTTCCTGTCACTTACTAATTCTTTCCTTTTTGTCTTTCCTGTCTCAGCTCAAATGTTACAGCAGAAAAACATAGGCTATATCACATGACCTTTATATAGTTTAAGTAACCCTAATCACTATTGAAGATTTTAATTATTTCTTTGCTTATTTTATTATCTCTGTCAAATATCTCCCCACAGGACATTGTCTTTACGAAAGTTGAGATTTTTTTATAGAATCCCAGCCCCTAGAATTGTACCTGGCTTAACAGATTCCGATGACTATTAGTAAATTAGAAAATCCTTAAAGATTCAGTTCGGATTTCACCTTTTCCAGGAAGAATTCCTGAACCAATTGCTCAGGAAAAATTCCCCCGGCCCTGTGTTCCCATCTTCCACTTCTTGTGCATAAAACTAACATTCATCAAGTTGTATCATATTAATTTATATATGTATATATATATCTTCTAAAAATACTATATATTTCTTGAAAGAAAGGATTTTATTTCAACCTGCTTTATATCCATAAGTTCATGCTATTCTAGTGTGTGGCACATAAAAGGCATTCAGTGAGTATTTTAAAAATGAATCACTCTTTGAAAAACCCCAAACTGTCATAAAAGCAATTGTTAAATATATTCACGATAGTTTTATGTGTTAGGTTGGCTAGGCTATGGTACCGAGCTTTTTAATCAACTACTAATCGAGGTGTTACTGTGAGCCTGTTTTGTAGATGAGGTAAACATCTAAAATCAGTTGAGTTTAAGCAAAGGAAATTGTCCACTGTACTGTGGGTTAGCCTCATCCAATCAGCTAGAAGGCCTGGATAGCAAAAAATAAGATTTCAGAGAAGAAATTCTGATATAAAAATATTGCTATCTTAACAGAATATGAAAAGGAGATACATATCATGTGTTTTGGTATTTTTTGTGTATTTTTCTTACTTTTTAATTATCTTTTTGTTTTATATGTTTTGTGCAATAAGATCACAAATAAATTATGACTACTGACATCTCTGCTGAGATTTTGATATACAAGTAAAAAATGATTCAAGTGAGATGAGTTCGATTAAAGTTAGCTTTCCAGATGGACACAAAAACTATCAAGAAACAGAGGACTTCACTCTGTTTTTCAGGGAGTTAGAAGCATGAAAGGGCCTTCCGTTTTTGGAAAGAACTTTGAGATGGCCAAGGAAAGACAAAGTACAACTGATGTAGCAGGCTAAAGGTGAAGAGTATGAGTCAATGATTTATAGTTTGAGCGTGACAATTTCAGATACATGACTTCTGAAACCTAACATCCCTTTCTGTAATTTGGGCCCATTCTTAACCTTCTAATTTCCACAAGTAGCTGTATCCTTCTCCAGCTTTGGGTTAACTCCTTTGCTGTTACTTCTTCCAACCCAAATCCCACCTGTTAATCATTTTTTCTAGTTATGTTATTTGTAATTTTTCTGCATTGGTTTATTTCACTGCAATCACCTTAACTCAATTTCACCCTACGGTAATGGCCTTTAACTAGACACCATGAAATCTAATCTCTCACTTCTCCAGCCTTTTGTTTATTCACAGTGATCAGGTTAATCTTCCTATACCACAACTATCAGCCTTTTCCTTGACTTAAAAAATTCCATATGTGTATGAATTGCAGGTAGAATAGTCAAGATCTTTTCATCTGTCACTCTATGTTCTTCCAACAGAGACCTTACCTCCTTCTCCTTATATCCTTCTACATTCCATTGTAACCAAATTAATCTCTTGTTTTCCAAACATGATTCAGTGAATATCTGCACTGTACCTCTTATTGTGTCCAGTGCAAATTCTATCTGAATACTTTTCTTCCTTTAGGAGTAGAGCTAGAGACTTCCTTGATCAAGAAACCGGGGTTTAATATCAACATAAATGCCACATCTTTCTCCTCTTCTCTTGTGATAGGTCTTTTCTGAGCTATAGCAAGATATAGTGGAAAAAACCTTATAGCTATAGGTTGGATCCCAGTTCTGTCCCATACCAGCTGTTGGAGTATAGAAAAATGACTTAATCTTTCTGCCTCTGTTTCCTCATCCATGAAATGAGGATTAAAATATTTACCTTCATTGAATTATTTATCTCAGTTGCTTATTTTTATTTATTGCTCCCCCTCTTTCCACTAGAATATAAACTTAAGAAGGAAAAAATGTTGCCTGTTTTGATAATTGCATTTTCCCCCAGTACCTAAACTAATGTCTGGCACAGAGTAGAAAATTTATACTATCTGATGAATGAATAAATAGTTAGCACCTAGTGAAGCTTTCACAAATGGTGGCCATCATCATCATCATCATCATCATCATTAATCATACAGTACCTATTAATGCTGCCTAGCTTGCTATTTATTTTTTACATGAAATCAGGATTGTTTCTCCCTTACAGGTCCTTAGTAACTCCTTGGTGATTTCTCCTGTCCAAAATTGTACCAAAGCTAATGCTAAACAGGATTACATGAAGTTGATTATTTGCAAAAAAAACAAGAGTCTAGAACTAGAATCAAAGCTTACTTAGTGGAAATCCCCCCCCCACCACATATTCACATCTTATTACTCATATCCAACTAGAGATTATCAGCTGCCTCTAGGCTCTTCATGCCACACATATTTACTTTATTAGTAGCAATTTTTAATTATTTTATATTCCCCTTCAAAGCTCATAAAATAATGTCACATTTTAACAGTGCCTCAGAGGAAATTATTTCTGACAAAAACATGAATACTTTAAAAAGTCAAATTTATAAGGTATGCATTTAAGAAGTGATGATGTTATTAGTACAATTCTATAGTGAAAGTTCAATGGTGTTACAAGAACTTCAATTTCAAATAGCTAACTTTCCTTCCAACCCAACCCACCATCACAGAATAAATTTTTAGCCATCCAGTGGTGCAATTAGTCTTATCTCCTACAAAAATGCATCTTTTAGAGGGATACGATTTCATCATCATTAGTCAGTTATACCACAGTTTGAAAGAGTTTGTTTGTTTTATTCACCCCTTTCCTATGCAAGATAAAGAAGAAATCAGGGCAAGCATGACCAGCAGTGCTCATTGAGTCTGGCCATTGCTGCATCAGGAAGATCCGAAATCCATCAGAAGAAACTTACAAGACCATCCTATTCTCCTAGTTCAGAGTATTCATCAACACAGAACTACAGATTAGGTATCATTATTCCCACTGGACAGACCAAGTTATTAAAGTTCAGTGAGGTTAGCCAACGTGTTCAAAGTTCTACTTCATAACCTTTATTTGCTTATGAAGAATCAGACACTCAGACAAGTAGAATCAATTACTGGTTCTAAATAACTCTTTGTATACTTTCTTACCTGTAGTATCATCCGTATTGATGTGAATTTACAAGGCAATCTGTTAGGTCCCTCCATCAACTGTCTTTCTCCAAGTGCAGATATATTTAGGGTGAACAAAAGAGGGGAAAGAGAAAGTATTAGATCAGTAACCACAGTGCTATTGTCCTACCTGTGTACTTGTGTGATAATTTTGGCTAAATAAGTAGTAGTTCCTGGAAAAGAGTGTTACGCTATATAGGCAGGAATATTATATCAATCCCTCCTTAAGCCAGTCTTGAGTATTTAATACAATTTTCATTGTCTCTTTTGAATAAAAAAGAAAAATTAAAAGAATATTTTGTCCTTAAATCACAAAATTGTGGTTCTGAAATTCAAGCTCCTATACTTTTTATGTTTCTTCCCTATTATTTTTGTAACTGTTATATAAATATAGATTCAGAATATTGTGATTGAAATTCCTAGAGGGTATTTTGTGAAACTTAACTGCAAAATGTAGTTGACACTCGTTCTGTGTTACCCTAGGGCTACAGTTTTGATCATAGACTGAGTGGATTCATTCCTGTCAGCACGATGAATTTCATACTCGTGTCATAGGCAAATTTTACAATCCTTTTGCCTTTTACAAGTACAAATGAGGTGAGAATAAATTCAGTTATAATATTTGAATCAAGATCTAAAGAAAATAATCATATCAAACAGATATAATGTATAGGCCAAAATCTGCCGCTTTTTAAGTCTGGTTGTCTGATTAAATTTACAGTAATGTTAACATTGATGTAAATATGCACACATTTTTATATACTTAACACCATATTTTTAATATATCAAATGTATCATGATAAATAGAAAATCATAACAAATGAGTTATATATTCATCAATTGATCTGTAATTGTAAGAAAGCAGTGGCTATTGTGTTAGTAAATCTTACAAGCAGTGTAATACATTATATATAATCTTTCAGTTTTAAAACATTTTTAAGTTCCTATTTCCCATTGCCCAGGTATTAGACACCAGTGACAGTTGCTTTGAATTTTTTAAAAAAGTACATTCTGATCGTAGGTTCCCAAGAAGGTTAAATATAAATTAGTCATAAAGCCAATGGGATAGACAGGAAATGATTAGGCAGTGTGATTATTTTTAAATTTATAGTGTTTTAACATTACTAGTGTTTAATTAAGGAGAAAAGGAGCCAATTTTATCTTATGTGATTATTTAAGACCTCAAAAATTAATGTTCTCCTTGCTCTGTAATGCTGTGGTTCTAAAGCAATGTTGAAGACAACAAAGTCCTATTTGATAGTCTAGCCTTTCAGCGAACAGCTCTTCTTCCTGTCTTTGATGTAGCAATGGTTTATTTAATCAATTATTAATCAAAGTTATGGCATTCTTCTTATATATTTAGGTAAAACTAAAAGATGACTTTCCCAAGCCTTATTACTTAAATAAAAGTTTAAATAGACTGTGAAAACACTTACACTTGACTTTGACATGGCAGATATTGGAGTGATTTAAGTTTTAGAGAGCCACTGGTCTCAACTGGGAGCTTAGATGAAAAGGTATGTGTGTATGTGTGTGTGTGTGTGCATGTGTGTGGGTGGGGGGAGGGGGTGTGTAATGTAATTTTCTAGCACTAGATGATGAGAATGGGCCAAAGTATCCAGAATACTTTTGATAACCTTCCCTCTGATAACAAAAGCCAGTACAGATAATTTGATCAGTGTTTTCTTTGCACAGGTGTTAAAGTTGACAGGAAACAGCTGAAAGACACAGCATAGTGGTGCAAGCCGGGCAGCTGGACACTTTGTGCATGGAGAATCTTGAGCAGTTGGTAACATTTGGCAGCTTAACATAGAAAAAAATGACTGCTAGCAAAATCTCAACTGCTGCTAATTAGCAGCGATGAACTGTGGGTAGGACAGTGCGTTTTAATGTGAGAAGATTTTTACAGTAACCATCGCACTAAAGGGAGGGGGGTGGGGAAGAGAAAGAAATGCTCCCTAGCTGACCCTAGTGGCAATCCAAGCTGCATATTGCAATAATCCTGTAAATTACTATGCTTTCTTATACAGTAACTTGGAGTTAATTAGTAATTTAACATTCCTCTACACTATTAAATGTCTTTCTTGCATTATATTATGTTGTTTCATGGGCTTACCTTAACACTAATGGGGTTTTGTTATATTTTCTCAAAACAGTAACAGTAAAATAAAACTGAGCTAGAAAATTAGTTATCTTTTTACCTTTGATTTACCTGTTATTAACAATTAAGTGGTGATACACATTTTTTAAAGTGGTTTAGAAGGTTACGTTGAGATGAATATACTTCCAGAATATATTACAGAGGGAATGTGAATAAAAATGAATAGTGTATACACTTCAAGAGACTATGCCACACATGCAGAATGCAGTGCAAACACATTTCATATTTCTACCCTAATAGAGTGGGTTAATAGTTTGTGGGTAGTAGAAGAAGAGGAAGGATAGAGGTAGAGAAGGAAAGCCTATTTATCTACATCCACTAATTTAAGTAAAAATATCTTTGTATAGAAAAATCCATGCTGTTCTTTGGTTTATGTTACAGATGTGGATGTGCTAGAGTGAGATAGTGGATCTTACCATATATGAAATATATGCACATTTTTGTAACTTTTTAGTTTCTAAACACCAGAGGATTTTATAGGATTCTGTGCTAAGGAAAAGTGGTACTCAAAAATGTAAATAATAGAAATTAATGCATGCAATGATAACTTTCTGATAGGAAACTCAGAGATGAGGAATTATGGTAAATGAAATTATTCATATTATTTGAACAGAATAAAGAAGTTAAATTTGTTAGTATGTTTTATTTTTAAATTGCTTGACTAGCTACTTCTTTCTTCCCCTGCAATCCTGATTTTCCCACTGAATGAAGCAGAAAAATAAAGCAGAGTTACACGCATGCACTTTAAAAACTGTTATTATCTACTTGAAATTGAAATTCTACTGTACTCTGTATATTAAAGATAAAGGAAATGTTTTTATTTGGCATCTCAAAGATCAATGTGAACTTGACAGTGGAACAATTTAGTAAAAGCAGGGTTTCAGAAGAAGAAAAGCTACGGATGTGTACGTGGGAAGGAATGAATTCAACACAAAACATTTCCAAAAGATTTCGTCTCTTGGGGCTCCCTCTAAAAGAATGTCTGCTACCATTTAAAACCCCATCCTTTGCAGCTGGATTTGAACATTCCATAAAAAATTCATCCACGCTTTAAGAGATTTCTGCTTTTCTGTCCTCTCTATTGTTAGACAAATTGAAGTGTGCACTCGGAAGGAGAGTGGCAGTGAACTGCGAATTTATTTACTCATTCGATTCTAATATTGAGAGAATCTACTCGCTCTGTTCAAAGGGTAGAGCAACAATGCAAGTGACATCAGGTCACTCAGCACTTCATAGCTACCTGTGAGATAGAATTGTTCTCCTTGCAGATAGGAAGTGACTGAAACCTCTTTTTCTCATCAATGTCTATTATGATTGATGGCTCTATGGTCACATTGAATATGCCCTTTTTAAATAATTCACAATGTCATCACCATAGTACTAGTTTATAACTAGCCTGTTATTTTTACCTTTGTTCATTCACTATCAGAAGGTTAGATAAATTAAGTACTGTGGATTTTGGTAGCATTATAACCAACCAAAGTACAGTGTTTATAGCCCAACAACAACAAAGCATCGGTTTTATTTTTTACCAGTACTCTGAATGTCTCTCTCCCTTAATAAATCCTAAAAGGGAATTCTGATAAAGCAGAAGCACTTGTAGCACACTTTAACCTGAAACCACACTTCAGTATTAAGTCATAAGATTTTCAATATAAAAATCAGTCACACTGCATTGAGACAGATGGAATTTTACATAAATTCTACACTTATTTCAAAACAATACATCATATTTATTTAATGACTTAATAATAATAAAATTTGTATTTCTCTTCCAAATATCTAATGCATGGATTGTTAAACCAGCATTTGTACAAAAGAACAGTTAAAGTACATATTTAAAAATGTACTGCTTACTATTGAGAGTATACTATATGAGAAATAATATATTTCAGTTATTTTCTAAATTGATTAGAAATCAGAGTTTGTTATTTAATTTTTAAATGTGGATGCTGACCCTCAAAAGTCCTTCATTTTATAAGGTATATTTAAAATCATTATCTGGTAGTTTTGACCAACATTAGTTGCTAAAATGAATAATTATACCTCTTTTATGTAAATTTTGTTGTATTACACATGAATTGTTGGTAGGTCAATTATACAAACTCAAAATATCAATTTTGAACATAAGGCAATATAAATCAAAGGAATCAATTCCTTTGCCTTAAATAAACAGATAGTGCTTAGATTTTAATTTTATCACTGTGATCAATAGCAATTCAAAAGATTTTATTTGTGTAAGTTTTCTCATAGAGTACAAATGCTTCAAATCTACGATTAAGAACATTTGTTTTAAAATTCAGTTATCCTGTGCATATTTATCCTATAATAAAAAATATAACTGTCAGAGATAAATTATGTGCTTAATAGAATTGGGTCTTTATAAAAAGTAGCCTGGGTATTTTTATTTTTAGGATCCTAAGTTTGGATTTATATAATTTGTTGATTTTGTTATTGAATTCTATTTCTCAAAGTAACAATGTCAGGTGGAATGAAAAATATAAAACTTGTCTAGACTTAAAGTATGTGATTAAACTTTTAATATGCTATCATAAGTAAAAGAAGTCAAACTGATAAGAATTGTCATGTGATCGGTAGTGCTAAAAGTACAAGTCATTCATTCACCCAATAAATATTTATTGGCCACTATGAATGAAATGGAGAGACCTGGTTGTTATTCATCCAGAGCTTATGTTCTCTCAGTGAAGATAGACAACAAACATTTTAGAAAAAAATAAGGCAACCTCAGATAGCAAAAAGTGTTTGAAGAAAACAAAGCTAAGTCACATACCCGATAGAGACTGAGGAAAACAGATCTTATCTAGAGTGCCTTATTTAGACGGGGTGGCCAGGGAAATTCTTCCTGTGTAGGTAACATGGAGCTGAAACAAATAATGGACAGATACCTGTTGTACAAAGATCTGGGGCCAGATGATCCTAGACCAGTGAGTCCCAGGTTCCTGGTATGGCAAAAGCAAACACAGCATTTTCAAAATGAGGCAAGGGCTGAGACAAGTGGAGGTCAAAGAGGCAGACAAGGACCAGGGAAAATGTAGCACTTAGGTGATAAGATGTTTGGACATTACTTTATTCTGTGTGCAGTGGGAAGCCAGTGGAAGATATTAAGTATAGAAGTGACAAAAAAATGTTTTACAAAAAGTTCCTGGCTGTGGAGTCAGGCAAACATTTGAAGCCTTTCTGTCACTTGCAGTTATATGTTTTTTAATTTTTGGTAGTCTCGGTCGCTTTGACTCCAGTATGGGTAGGGTCAGTAAGAAAGATCAACAAGACAGTGCCTAACACAGTCCTTGGCAACTTACAGGGGCTCAAGGAATGTGACATCTCTTCTGTGCTCTTTTGTTTGTGAAGTTTCAAAATTTCTAAGCACAGGATTTGGAGAGTTTAGCACTACTAATATTAATTAATTCTCATTTTTGTGTTAATTCATCTTTATGACAAACTGAAGTTAAAAAATGATCAAAGGTAGTTATCTGTTTCAAGGAGACACTCATTATTAAATTATTGGTAAAATAGTTACCTACCTACCTTGAGACCTTAAGGATGTCCTGGACACATTCTAAGCTTTTTGTATATATTAGCTTATTTACCCTTACAGCTCTGCTATGGATTAATGTTATTATTATCCCATTTTACAGAGGAAGAAAGAGGGTCAGAGAGTTCACACAACTTTCCTAGGTCATAGTGACAGAGGTAGGATATGAAAATAAGCGTTATTTTTTCAAAGCTAATATCTTAATAACATTCAGGGTTTAGAGAGTTAGATAACTTAAAAATTTGAGGTTTAATATGATTAATATATTAATCATTTTAGAAGTTAATTGATACATATACAAAATGAAAATTAAATTGGTTGTTAGTGTCATCTTCTTATAAAGTAAATGGCTTAGGCTTTTTAAAAATATGTTAAAGAATATAAAATGAAAAGTCTGCTGAATCAAAGAAAAAATGATCTTTTTGTCAATTTCAGACTCAGATCTTCCCTTTTAAAAAGCAATTTTATTTAAAAAATAATTATTTTAAAATAGTTTTATAAAAAACTTGTATATTTTTCCTTTATATGTCATTGTTTCTTCCGTAATCATTACCTAAATAGAACCCCAAAGAACAGGTGAAAAGTAAAAAATAAAATTAAGGGACAAGGGACAAAATTGAAAAATATTTAATTAGTGAAAAATCTCCTTTCATTGAAATAAGTATTTTTTCCCTTTTTCTGTGATAGGGACTCAACTTTGGGATTGCAAAATAAAAATCATCGTTTTAAAAATATTTCAGCATCTATTATCCAAACAATCCTGGCAAGAAAAGTAGTAGTGCAAAGTTATTGAAGCTAAGGTTCAATTTTTCTTTTTATTTCATAAAACTTTAAAGAAATGTTTATTTCCTCTGTATGGAAATTTAATGGATGGACAAAGACATGCAGCAATTCAAGGAGAAGGTAGGAAATCAAAGATATAATAATGAGGGGATATGCTCAGAGAATTGTGAAAGCTTAAAAATCACTTTAGTCTTTGCTTAAAATGGAAGAAAAAGTGCAAGGGGGAAAACTTATGTAACCGTGAAAACATGTTTTCATTGTAATCAATAAGTTACATTTTGTGAAAATAGCCTTTTAAAATGGAATTGAATCATTTCTAGCTATCCTATTTAAAATTTCCATGGCTTTCCATATAAATAGCCACCCTTTAGCATGCCATCTTCTAAGGGTTTGCCTAATTTTAAAACATTCATTTATTAAAATAATAATAACAATAATATCTTTACTGTATGCCTACTGTATTCCAGGTAATATACCAGACACCTTGGGATATAAAAGTCAACATTAGTCAATGCCCATACTCAACACGCTCAGAGTTGAATGGGCAATACATCTGTTTCATAACTCCCACCAAAATGGATGGGGCTTGATTTGTTAGAGGTGGTCAGTTCGCATGGTGAAGTTATTGATCATTTCACTGTAGTGAGATTAAGGTCATAGTTGCATTTTTTCGGGAAAGATTCAGATATGGCTTTCTGTTAATGCAAAAAATTCAATCTCTGTGTAACTTCTTCCATGAGTGATTATTGCAACCTAAATCCATAAATACTTTGCATTTCCAAGATGATTGATTGAATCTTGATTATTGAAGAAGCATTACTAGTACTCACTTCAGCAGGAGGAAGATAACACCAGTGTCATGTACCCTCTGAGGAAAGTATTTAGTTCCAGTGGGGTCAAACTTGATAAGTGATCAAAGATATAAACACAATGAAACAAACCAACTTCCAGCCACACATATATGCATGCAAACAATCCAAAAAAATGAGCTAGAAAACATCCCAGCAATAATAAATTTAAATTGGGAAACTTAATGGTAAATATATGGAGCAATAGCAACCTGCTCAATGGTCAGCAGAATGTGGTGGCATGGAGGTTTTCCTATTGGCACAATAAGAGTAAAAAAAAAAAAAAAAGTTAAAAAAAAAAGAGTAAGAGAAGATTTTCTTCAAAGAAAAGTCTTAAGAAGGTGGAAGACAAAGTTCTAAAGAGAGGCTGTGGAAGGAGAAATGAAGTGAAGAGTTGAAAAAAGGGGTTAGGGTATACGGAACAGTAGGAAAGCAGTGTCACTAAAAGGAAGGGAAAAATGATCTTTCCTTATTGCCCTTTGAAAAGAGTAAGAATTTGCATAGTCACAAATGATGAGAGCAGCTTTAGGACAATTTGGGGGGTGGGGTCTGGAAGGGACTGGTTATAGGTAGAACGAAATATAAAGGTAGGGTGCCCAAATTTAAAAGTTTCACAAGTATATTTTATGACTGTGATGGCAAAATTGAAAAAAAAGGTATTTTGTTAATTGAAAAATATTCCAGATTTATAAAATTAATAATTGAGTAAAAACATAAATTTACATTTTTACCTGACATTTTGAAACATGCTGTTTGTGTGTGTGTTTATTAACTCAGAGTGTTGACCCTTTCCTATATAATTGTTCTGTGTTACACAATATAGGATTATCTGAGACCTGAAAAATTGAGGAAAATGTGAGGGAAATTTTCAGAGGTGAATGTCACCAGTCTTGACACATGAAAATGTATCACTTCTGAGAAGATTCATAATCAATTCCAGCCAGCTATCAAATCAAGCCATGGAGATATGAACTGCAAGAATAATATCAAGAATAATTTGATACATGATAGCTAAAATGATGGCAGTTTATATAACACCCTATCTACTTTACAACAACTACACGTATAGCTAAGGTTCTAATTAAAGTAAAGAAAAAGTATATGGTTTTGAAACTGAATCATTCTGGGAACAAATATCAAAGCCTTGAGCAAACAGACTTACTCTGCTAAGTAAAATTTCTTTTTGAAAAGACTACAAGTATCTTTCTGTCATAAAGCACTCTTAAATATAGCATAGCATGGTATAATGTAGTATGTTATCACATAATATCACATATTATTTTATGGATTTGGGAGCCAGCCAATATTGAAGAGATTACCTATCCAAATACTCATTTATCACAGACTTTTCTGGAAACATAGTAAACAGACCAAATAAAATCCCTGCCCACATGAAGTTTATAGTTTCCAAAGATGAGAAAATCCCAAGAATTTATGTGATTCTACTAATCCTTCTTCCTTCTCAAGGTCTCTCAGCCACTAAATGAAAAATCTAAATAAGAGCTCAAGGATCTGATTCCCAGTTTATTAAAATTTCTAGTATTCTGACCACGAGAGTCGCAAGACATGCATTTCGTTTCAATTTGCTATTCATTGACAAATGTTTTGGAAATGACATTTATATATGACATAATCATTAGTTCATATCTAAAAATTATAATTGTTTTAACAAATAGTGTTTATGTTCTTTTGTCCCTTAATTGGAGTGAAGTTCTCATATATTAACAATACCTTTTTATTTTTTAGTTGAAGAAGGCAAGAAACATGAACTTAAAAGAGTGCTTCACGGTCTCCAGATGTCCCATGGAAAAACAAAACAAAGGTGTCATTCAGATTGTTAGGTTATATGCTGAGTAATTGCAGTAGGCTGGCCTTTCTAAACAAAAAAAGCATTCTAAATAAAACTTTCAATTAAAATTTAAAAATAAAATTTCTCTTGTTACTGGAATAAAAATTTCCTCAAGCTTTACAAGCTTTGATTGCAAATGCAATGGTAGTAAAATTAATATTCAAATATTTTTAAGTTATTAGGTCCTAGAAAATGACATTGGATATACAGCCCTCTATAACATATCCCTCTCTCTGAAATATTTCTAAGTGTTGCCAATGTTTGTCTCTCACACACACTACTACAGGCTGGCTCCCATGTTGCCTAACCTGTTGAACAAGAACTTGTCTTCTGATGCCCCTTCAATCAGGTCACTTCCCTTCTGGTAGTTCCTTTGTTCCATCAGGCATTACAGTGATCACCAATGTACCACCAGGATAGCAATCCCTGAAAGGTCCCGATGTATCCAACTTTCTTTTCTTTTTTTTTTTTTCCTTTTATTTCATCATATAATGGAGGTACAAATATTGTTAGGGTTATATCCAACTTTCTTGACTAAGCACCACATAGATTCCTACTGCCCCTCTCGTCATGGCAGTTCACTTTTGGTGGCTATACTGTTCTTCCACAAGACCAAAAGTGATTTTTTAACTGTATCCAGGAGGTATATTCTCTTATGCATTATAATCTTTTAAGGCTGTCTTTAAGCAGTGCTGTTTAGGGTCCAATGTTGCAGAGATCCAACTCTTAATTTTTTTACAACACTCTACCATACTTCAGGTCGTGTCTTGATGAGGTAATATACTGCAGAATTATTACTGCCTTTTGAATATCTACAAAAACTAAGTCAAATTTATCATACTTAGCTAATGATCAATGGATTCAAACTAAACTAAAATTAAGGTTTTTACAGAATCTTAGAAGTACAGTGGAATAAAATTAAAAGCTGGGCTTCATTAACAGCTCAATAAGATTTCTTTCTAAATACCAAAACAATGAGCAAAATGTCAATACTTGGGTATCTATCTTAAAGATCTTTTTTCATCCTACATGAGTAATTCTCTAGTAGCCAGTAGATGATCAACTTACTGGCAAGATATTTAACTATAGAAGATATTGATGTGCCAAAATCTCAGGTTTCTAACACAGAA